GTCTTTTCCAGGAACTCTTTGCCTATACCAATGTTGGACTGTTTTTTTTTTTAAAGGTTTATTTTATTTATTTGAAAGACAGAGTTACAGAGAGAGGCAGAAAGAGAGAGACATCTTCCATCCGCTGGTTCACTCCCCAGATGGCCACAATGGCCAGAGTTGTGCTGATCTGAAGCCAGGAGCCAGGAGCCTTGAGGGCAGGGGCCCAAGGACTTGAGCCATCCTCTACTGCTTTCCCAGGCCACAGAAGAGAGTGGGATTGGAAGAGGAGCAGCCAGGACTAGAACCCGTGCCCATGTGGGATGCCAGAGCCCCAGGCCATTTAACCCGCTGTGCCACAGTGTCGGCCCCTGGACTGTTTTTAATAAATGAAAATGTGGATTGTTGAACCCCTTTATGTGGTTCGTAAATCACTCTAGTGTTTGGAGTTTGGGTTTTGAGTTCTCCAGGAACTTCATTCAGTAAACACACATACACTTAAATGTTAGTATGTTATATTGGAGTTGAAAAGTACAGTGGGCTCATAGAGTCCAAGATGTAGCATCCTCAACTTGTCTGCTACAGTAGTATGATTTGGAGGAAAACTCTAAAATAGGCTTTCCCTCCAAAATGTGAAGCAAAGATGACCTGCATTGATGATTATGTATTGTCTCCCAGTGTAACTACTTCAGTAGAAAGTAGGTGTCCTGCAGTAACTGTCAAAGCCAAAATCTGGATTCAAAATTCCTAGCTTTATATCTTGAATTTATCATTTATTAACTGTGTTACTTCGAATAAACTATTTATGTCTCTTTAAAATGGATAAAACATTAAGAATGGGGCCCCTGCATTGTGGTGCAGTAGGTCAAGCTGCTGCATAAGATGCTGGCCTCCCCTATTGGAGGCTGCTCCACTTCAAACCCATCTCCCTGTTATGTGGCTAAAAAGGCTCAAGTGCTTGGCCCCTTGTCACCATCCATGTGGGAGACCAGGGTGGAATTGCTGGATCTTGGGTTTGTCTTGTTTTCTGCATCCATTTGGGAAGTGAATTAGCAATAGAAAATCTGATTCTCTTTCTTGTTCTCTCTCTGTTGCTCTGCCTTTCAAATAAATCTTTTTTCAAAACACTGATTAAGAACAACCTTATTTGTGGTAAGTGAATTAATATATGTAAGGCATAGTACAATTTCAGGCACATAGTAAATGTTAGTGGTTAATAATTTGGAATTATATGGATGTTTCCATTCAAATATGTTTGTTAATCAACTGTCATGATTTCACAAGCATGTGATATAAAGTGAACAATCAAGCTACTCAGTGAATACTACCAATTGACATGCTTACAAAAGGACTAACCTTCAGCCTTCTCTAAATACAGCTAGCAAAATGCTTTAGGGGCTTTTACTTCTGTGAGCTTTTAGTAAAAAAAAAAATTAGTCACTAGGATATACACACACATAGATATAAATATATATGTGAAACTGGTATGTATGTATAGTAATAAAAACAACATAATTTATATTTTACTGTATGTTGATGCAGAATTGACTGCTGGTATGGTGTGTGAGCCATTTGGAAAGAAGATGTCAGTTGTGAGGTGCTTATGTGATTTGCATACTTAACTTCAAGGAGATGGAAAAATTAAAAAAGCTAAATGAATAGTTGAAATGGCTGTCAAATAATTTGGGGAAACAGTCTCATACAGTGTTCTGTCAAGCAGAAATTGAAAGGCTGTGAGCAAGGAAACATAAGTATTGATTCTATCACATGCACTTTTTAAAATAAAATGTTTATTTGCCTCTACTTTTTAAACTATTTATTTAAAAGGCAAAGTGTAGTGGAGAGATAAATAGATCTGTCAGCTGCTAGTTTGATTGCCAGACACCTACAATAGCTGGGGTAGACCCAGGCTGTTGCCAGGATCCAGGAACTCCATCTGGATCTCCTGTCTGGGCAGCAGGGACTCAAGCACTAGAGTAATCATCTGCTGCCTGCTAGGATGCATTAGCAGGAAGCTGTTTGGAAGCAGAGTAGCCAGGACTCAAACTAGCACTCTGATAGGGGACGTGGATGTCCCAAGTTTGTTTAACCTGATGCTCCACAATACCTGCCCCATCATAGGCATTTTACATTGAACATTTCACTATATATAAACAATAATATTGTGAGGCAGATATCTTGTTATCATTATTTTTCAGAATAGGAAAATATGTCATGGGAAATT